TGTTAGTAAGCACTCTCTTATTTATCTGTATTACTTGCATTTGTAGCTCTTCAGCCTCCTTCTATCGCCCTTGGTTCTAGTACGTTAACACTAGGTTAGCTATACTAGTCAGCGTGTTAGGATGCTTATTAGTAAGCACTCTCTTCATCGTCTGCATCACTTGCACCTGCAGCTCTTTAGCCTCCTTCTATCGCCCTTAGCTTATATACGTCGTCGCTAGGTTATTCATACTATTCAGCGTGTTAGGATGCTTGTTAGTAAGCACTCTCTTGCTCGTCTGTATTACTTGCACCTATAGCTCTTCAGCCTCCTTCTATCGCCCTTAGCTCCTATACGTTTCCGCTAGGTTACCTATGCTGCTTAGCGTGTTAGGATGCTTGTTGGTGAGTACTCTCTTCATCGTCTGCGTCACTTGTACCTGCAGCTCTTTAGCCTCCTTCTATCGCCCTTAGCTCCTGTACGTTACTACTAGGTTAGCTATACTAGTTAGCGTGGTAAGATGCGTGGTGGTAAGTACTCTCTTTATTGTCTACATCACTTGCACAAACAGCTCTTCGGCCTTATTATACCATCTATCTCTAAATAGAGTTGTAGTATATTTTAATGTAAGACGCATTCTTTCTTCGTTATTATTATCCGCCAGACTATGTGATAGAGCATACTAGGCATATAGAAGCAGCCGTCTCCACTTGCTTCTATTGCTATAGTCGCTGTCTAGGAACACTTAGAGTAGCTACGTAATCACGTGTTAAGTCTATTTTTAGAGCCGTCCCTGCACTTGCAGCCACTTACGTAGAGCTTTATAGACTAGTTAATAAATATTAAGCGCAGACTCTGCAGGCCGCCTAATAGCGAGCGTATACTTATTAAGTACCCTAATAGCATCTTCTCTTGCTTACGCCGAAGCTGCCTCTAGAAGATTAAGCGAGATATCTTTCTAGTCTAAGCATATAGCAAGAAATAGGTAGTCTATAGCGAGCGCATTATTATAACTAATCTCATTTATAGAGAGAAACAATATAGTAGCTACAGAGTCTTTTACACTAGAATCTTGCAGTCTACCCTTAGACGAGTCACCGCTATAGTTAATAGCTAGCTCTTTATACTTATCTAGCTGTGCTTAATACTCCTATACCGTTATACTGCTAGCATTTATATAGGCCGCTGCTTGCGTAACTACTAGCGGGAGATACAATAGCTCTCTTAGCACGTGCTCAGCTTCCTGCTGTTTAGTATTCGCGAGTAGCCTTAATAAGCGGACCTGCAGCATTCTCAGCGCCGCGTCTAGTATCAGCTCCTACAGCGCTATAATATTCTATAAAGCAAGCGCCTAAGCTATATCAATATTAGTTGTTGTAAAGATAGCAGAACATAGCTTAGACTGCGGTAGACAGTTAGCTAAGTCTACAGGTTCGGTCGTGGACGAGCCTCCAGGTCGTATAGTAGTGTCTTCTATATTATCAAAGACTAGCAAACATTATCGCGCACTAATATCTACTATACAACGTTTTACAAGCTGCTTTATATCAGTCTAGTCATCGTCCCACCTAGAAATACTAAGCTTCTACGCAACACTTACATACGACTAGTAGAGACTATCTTTATCACTTACATCTATCTAAAAGACCAAACAGTTCCTATAGTTCTACATTATTCTGTGTACAACCTTAAGCGTAAGCTACGACTTACCCGTTCCACCAGGTCCAACAATCGCTAGCGTAGTAGTAGTCTATTTATTACTAAAAAGCTTTACTTCTAGCTCAGCAAGCTGCGATTCTCAGCCCACGAAGCGGGGGTTTCGTAAGAATAGGATAATCAACAGTGCGTTAGCAGCTGCCTCTACTTCCGCCTACAGTCTACGTCGTGCACTCTCCTATCCTTCGCTATACGCGGTGGGCATAGAGATGCCAAGAATTCCAAGCAGGCAGTATACAATGTCTTCTTCTTCTATTATTCTGCGATTTTTGGCCCATATCTCTCGCTTAGATATAGTAAACTAGTCTAAGGGGTAGTTGCGCAATGCCGCGAGTGGGATGTTAGTAATATCGTGGACAAGCTAGTTAAGCGACGCTTTGTCGCCTATAGGATGTCCTTCATATAAGAAAAACTCAACTAACACTAGCGCAATTAGCTTTTAGAGCGTCTATCCCCAAGTGAACTATTTACTTACACAGAACGACACTTCCTAGTCGCTGCGTTGGACTGGCTCTGTTAGAGTCAACACTAATACGTCTAACAAGAAGACGTAGCACCGCGCCGCATCCTTATACCACTAGAACATCGAGTTAATCGCCTTCGAGCGCTCCTTATTATTCTACCTATCGATGCAGCATGTGTCAATCTAGAAGTACTGCAGCTCGTCCTAGGCCGCCCATTCGGCGCAAAACTAGAGCTTTCGACAGCCTTCTTCCTTCTCCTTATAGGCTCCACTCAATATGTCTTCGATTAGGATCTCGGAGTCGCTCCATCTGTGCGATAGAATAGCGTAGGGCGGGATCGTTTTGCCGCGGAAATTTGTCAAAACGGGCCTTTCCAGCGCATCAAAGTAGAGAAGCCGCATAGCGTTTGCAGTTTGGCTCAGCCTAGAAAAGGCGAGGCGAGAACGACTTCAATGATGTTGAAAGTAGAGAGGCATAGTCGCGACAGAGCGAAGCAGGCAGAGTAAGCTTACGCTGGGCTGCTGTGAAGGCTGCCTGTCGAGGCAGTGCATGCGATCAGGCTGAGCGGATGCTGGGCACATCGAGCATCCTGCGCCGCTCCGCCTCACAACTTGCGCTGGACGGCGTTCGCCATGTGGACTCACGTTGACTACTGCGTACATGGACAAGGTGCCAGCGAGTAGAGCAGTCCTACTTAGACTGCATCGTAGCGTCTCGCGAGACTCGTGTTAACGAGGAAGAGCGCGCTGCAATATAGGTCGTGTAGACGTAAAGACACTGTCTTGTTGCACGACTGAACCAACAGCTGCCTGCAAAGTCGGGAATAAGAGCTGCCTGGGGCGGAGTGCTCAAAGTTCCCAGCCACAACGCGCAAGGTGGGCGCACAGATATTTCAGCACGCTACTGCAAGCTGCTGCATGCCAAGTACTGCTAACAGCGCACGTCCTGAGGGTCGCATTTTGACGATCTTGCCGTCTGCGCGGAGAAACTACCGGAATGTACCCTCTTCACACTAAATCGATCTCCTAAGACTGCAGTCTTGATCTTTGCTATTTTGGCTTACTTCTTAGCCCACCGAGATTTTCGCAGATATGTACTGTCGTGAACGAACAGGGTGGTGCTGGATAGGAGTCGGTCTACATCATTAACAGAACGAGCAACAGCATAGCTAACGATGCGCTTTTCGGTATCGGAGACTGATGTGCTCAAAAGACGAGAGCTTCACAATAGATGCACGCTAAATCTGTCGATTTACAGGCGTGGTGGGAACACTCCGAGCACCCGAAAGAAAAAGTGTCCCGTTACACCGTGCGTCCCGGCACGCTTGGATTGACGTTATTAACTACCTTAACTAATTACTTACAAAGTCTTTTTTTGATATTTCATTCCGGCAGGTTGGGCTGTGGCTGGCTATTCTTTTCTGAGAAAAACATTCTGATAATCTTTATGCTAAGTAGATAACTACTCCAATTTAAGTCATAAGTCATACTATCCTTAATTAAGTAGCTTATTTTAAAATTAGTGAAAACTATGTTAACTACTAGTTATATTTAGTTAGGTATTGAAGTGACAGTTATACAGGACTTCCATCTATACGAGCTCTGATTGAGGTGACCTCTCCCGCACGTCGCGGCCCCCAAAGAATACTCATCAAGGATTCTGCCCACTCCGAAATCCTTGTCTTCCAAATCTCCGTCTCATCCATACTGCGAAGTATCTTTTTTATTTCTTTTCTTAGGATCTTGTTCTTTCTATTAGTTGCTAGTAAGCTTAGGTGTCTTCTATTGCGCGTAGGAAGCATACTCCTCTAGAACTTGAATAGCATCTTCTAAGGATTGTATGCGGTCTTCAAACTTAACTCGGTCTTGGAACACCGCAGCTTGATAACTAATAGCAAGTTCAGATTCAGTTGGTGATATCATTGGTAGGAATTCGTCGCGGCAAACTGGGTTTAAAGTTGCAAGCATATTTAGGACTTCCCCTCGCAGCGACGGGTGTCTTGGGGACTAAGACTTATCACATATATATCTTTCTACTAACTAATCTTAATTTCGAAATCATATTGTATGCAATCAAAAACGAAAAACGGAAAACGAATCTAAGACTCCATTTTTGGTACCCAAGACGTGAATAGCTCGAGCGTACACAGCTCAACGAATGCTTGTAGCCACTCGCTATCTTCATTTTTGGAAGAAACGAACTTGTGCTGTACTTATTAGGATGATTAAGCTATGTCGGCTTGGTGACTTACTGGACGAGTATACTTGGCGTCTGCACTCCGCTTCTCGTTGAACAATTCGTCTAAGAAATCTATTAGATTTTTTGACCCACTCCAATTCTCAGCGTTGTGTAGCCCAAAAACCTTGTTCCTCTCCCTCTGGCTTTTCACAAAACTAAGACTCCTTTTGTGGGGCGGAAGACTACGGCCTTCCATACACTCCATAAGAACAAAGCCAAGATCAACAAGATCGTTACCAGACTGTATCTTTTTGTCTTTCACGGTAGATTTACTAAAGTCAGCTGTGAATGTTAGCATCGTAGAGTTAAAAAAGAATGTGTAACTAACACAAAACGATTCGAAAATCTGGAGTTGTGATTCGTATGGAATGAGAGCCCACAGAGCCATGCACGATATTATGTCGGCTGAGGTAACTCAGAGCGTTGAAGATCTGCAGTGTTAGATATCAGGTTGATTAAAATTGTCGAAAACTTACTGAGGTTGCAATGCACTGAACTTGAAGCTCTTCCAGCTTTATGTGTACGCTCATGACCTCTATTAAGCTAAATCGGCAGTACTCAAATGTGAGAAGCATCATATCATCCTCATAAATGGAGCTCACAAGTTTAGTGATATTGGGATGCTGCAGTCGCTCGAGAATATCCTTCTCTACTATCCCATCCTTTCGGAAGACCTTTTTTACCATAACTAGTCCTTTACACCTCTTGCTAGATTGTACGGCCCACTCTATATCGTTTTGCTTGAAATGACCCAGCGTCAAGAGCTCAGAACGGTTGCTCCCCTTGCTGACATTTGATTCCAAGGCAGTCTTGTGTTCCCGCAGCGGTGATACATGCCCTATCGCAAGACGAGGTACGGGTTGATGTGTCACAAGTGGAGAAGCTAAAAGTGGAGAATGAGGCTGGGGATATGGTGGAAGTTCAGATAATGGTAAAGGTGGAACTGCAGAATGTGTCTTCATGAAGTCATCTCGATGCCCGTTCTTTTGAGCGAGAAGTGCAACCGTGGTCGGAACACGAGGTCTTGTAGGATCCAGAACTCTTTGTGGCCGCGGCAGTCGTTTGAATGCATCTTCTATCGAGTTCATCGTCGTAGTAGTGTTGTTTGTCGGGATTGGCATTATGTGCTACTCTACCTGAAGACACAAAATGAACGTTTACAAGCGTTGAATAAACATCATTCGCTGAAATTAAGGCTGAGTGATGCGCACTTGAATTGTAATTAACATATTCCAGCGTTCATATCGTAAAAATCATTTTTGTGGTTTCGGCTAAATGTTTTCGTTTGTCGAGTAGTTATGTGAAGTTTCTTAGCTAACCCGAAACGGCATTTGATTTTCAGGATGCGATTCCCCGGCCCTACTTAAGCAGCCGCTAAGGGCCTGTTCAGGTGCGCGTTTTACGTTTTACGTTTTTACTTCTAGATTTAGGCTGCGCTTTACCAAATACAATAGCATTTTCAAAAACACAGCCTAAACCTAGTAATAAAAACGCAAAACGCAAAACGCAAAACGCAAAACGTAAAACGCAAAACGTAAAACGCGCAACCGGATTGGCCCTAAGATAGCAACTTAGATGCGCATTGATCACTCATTGATGATGCACATAGGACACCAAGGTATCTATTTTAGGTCCCTATCTACTACATGGTTTCCAGGATATCTCAAACGTGCCTGCCCACCATCGTACTGCCATTCCTTGGATAAACAATCATGTCACGCAACCTGCCACCGCTTCGTCCAAGACGTCCAACAGATGGCACCATTTCTGAGCCACTGCGATCACCGTTCCGTACACCACCACCCTGTGACTTACGAAATGCAACAGCCACGGTCACTTCCCCTACTAGATATGCATCAGAATTATGCACCCCTCTACCCGTGATCAAGGAGGAGGCGACTGAAAAAAGTTCAATGTTTGTTCAGCAACCAGAAAATCCGCATAACCCTGCTTTCCAACAGCGGCCAAGGCCGGTCCGGGAAGCCAACATGAACCACGGTGTCAACAATGCAACGATCTGGCCGTCGGAGATACATAGCCAAAGCAGTACAATGTGGCTTCTTCCACCTCATTCAGACCAATCATCTGCTATAACGTCACTTTTGCGCACAGAGATACAAAGCCATAGTATCACGCGCGAGATGCTCCATGCAACAGAGAAGCGACGGCTTGAAGCCGTCCAGCGAGGCAATAAATTGCTACAAGACACTCATGGCTGGGCTGCTGCATACAACAATCTTACCATGGCTCTTGGAAAATGCTATGAGGAATATTCACGGGTATTGGGAGAGAATACCGAGATGAAATTGAAGTTGGAGCAGTCAAGGGTAAGTACACTGTAGGATGATAGTCAGTTTCGTGTAATACTTAGTCTTTAACTAGGAGTCCCAAGCGCATGTAGATGCTATGGACGAAAATCAAATCCAGAACTTTGGGCACGACTCTATTACACAAGAAGCCACCCAAAGTTTAGAAGAGGAGCTCTATGGAATAGATATGTATGCCTCTGGAGAAGAGTTTGAGATGAGCGATGCAATGAATGCGCATGAGTTAGAGGAGTCTGATCCGTATTCGCCCGAAGTTTGAGATAGCCCGTAGTATAAATGCAAATTCATGATTTGTTCACTCGAATTGCGCAATCGTCCTGTAAGCACAGCCCCACTAGATCCGCATTTGCTTTGTGGTGCAATTTGTGCAAACAACGTGTGCAGATAATAGAATACGATACAGCACTAACTTTCTAGAAATACTACACCACGTAAGCTCGCTATATCAGTCTCCGAAAATCAAGCTTAGGACCTTCTCAGCGCGGATAAATTCAGTCGCATTATACTACATCATGAGTATTTCTAAAATGTGTATTACTTCCTTACACTATAGATTTATCGTTTGAGGCCCCTGAACTCTAGTATCTATGAACAGCTGTTCTATTATAAAGATACAAATCAAGTTTAGTTTAAGAGGCCTTAAAAAGAATAATTAAGAGCATAATTAAGAGCACAGTAATTTTTCAGTTACTCACCGTAAGCTTAAGGAGCAGCTTTAAAAGAAGAGAGTCATCATTTATACGATTCGGTTGACTGTGGGATGAATAGTGGGGATGCTTTTGTGCGAAACAATTTACAGCACAGGGTGCTTTGCATTATACAGTGACGTTAGCCACGGCACCTAATGGCGTTGATAGAAATCTACCATTATGGCTCCTCGCTTTCTTCAAGTTCCATATCTCCCCAATCGCTTCTCGTTTTTCCATGCTTTGAACGCTTTCTAGTTCGGCTCTCTAAGAATACTCCTTGTCTTTTTTTCCTCGCCTGGTAAATAGGGTAGCGCTCCCGGCAATGCTGGAAGAATCTTACAAAATCCGTTTTTTTTGAATAAAAAATGCCCACGGTTAATGGTGGTATTGCTAGAACTTCTTTTGCGTCTAGTGCATCATTTGACACGATACGATAGCTGATAGATTGGTCGTGAGGAAGGACAATGTGTAACGCGCTTTCCTCGTACGAATCAAGTGACTGCAATGATTCTAAGAACGATTCAACCGCTGGAATATTATCGGGTATCCGAAATAACGTAGAAGCAAGTCCGCCATTCGTTTCTGAATGCCAATCTAAGATGCATATATTGATATGACCGGCATTTGATAATCTCCGAGACATGATTCGTTGTACGTCATACTGCCACAACGACTCCTTGCATGCTTCAAATATGGGCTTGCATATCGTTGCTATACTCGAATTTTTGAATTTCAATATCTGATGCCGGCTACTTGACTCGGCTGATATGTCGTCGTCACGAAAATGTCTCTTTTCCTTTTCAACATCCAGCTTCGGTGATGCAGCACCAGAAGATTCCTCATGCTGCCGTCCTAGGATATCGTCGAGATGCTCATCGTCTGAAGAATTGTCGAGATGCTCATCATTTGAACTATTGATGGTTGCGTTCTTCAAGTCGGATAATGCTTTAGTTAACTCCACATTCTCTGTTTGGTATGCATTGTTAATCTCCTTCAGATCTGTTATCTCTTTTTCCAGTTGTATTTTCTTATTGCTCTGTTCTACCACTTCTTGTTTAGACATGAATAAGTCGTTCTTGAGTGTATTCATTCCGAGTTGCGTGCTCGTTAGTTGCTCACAAAGCCTTTTAATCTCTTCTTTTAGTTGCTGCAGTTCTGCCTGAAGACGGTTTACTTCGGTTGATGCAGTAGCTGAGTAGGCTGGTTGCTGATGCGTGTCGTTTACTACATGCCCGTTTTCCAAGGATTGAATGAGAACAGACATCTCAGACCGTATCTACATTCTTACTTAGTCTACTAAAACATTTAGGTTTAAAAAGACATACTGGTGTGATGTATTTGTCGAAGAAAGCTTCTAGTACGTTGCGCTTTACAAGAGCGGATGTGATTGTCTGACTGGATTGTAGAGGATGGTAGAACATGGTTGCAAACATCACCGACTTGTCGTGTTCGTGATCCGCCTCATGTGGCTTCCCACATCGTTTTTCCCTTGGCCACGACATTACTCCGTCGTCAACCCATATGGGGGTTTGGGGTTTTTGCGAACTGGTCCCCTGCATGCTCTTCAAAATATCAGCAATCTTCCTCTCGCAGTCACTTCTATTCGATTCCCACTCAGGTCGCGCCGAGTTTAAGAACTGTTTAGCTTGAACCATCTCCGCATCTTCTCCCGCAAGCTTGCAAATGTTTGATGTCTCGAAGCCGACTTGCATAGCCAGACAGGCAAGTCTCTGCCACAGAGCAGGATTGTGATCCCTTCGCGCTGATTTAGGCCTTACTTCGATATTTCGCATATCTGCCTCATCGGTAATTTTCAGCCCACTCTCGAGCCGTGGTGTGAAAGACGTCATCTCAGGCCAATGCCGAAAACAGAACATCCACAACTGGAGATACCCGAGTTTAGCTCTTTCTTTTTTTCCTAGCGATCCCGGCAAAGGCAAGTTTTTAGTCTCGGAGATTTGGACCTTAATCTCACTTTCATGCTCCCAGTAGTTTGCTTTGAACTCTTTCCATATTGGTCGCTTACTTTTCACTCCGAGAAGTTGTTTCAAAATTTTGCTGCATGGCTCCAGGTACTTTTGATCTTCAAAAAACGTGCGCAAGGACGGAATCATACATTTTTGGGACTGAATACGATTCAAAATCTCGTTTCGAGCGTGTATATCTTCCAGTTGTGGAAATATGCATCCGTCTAGCATTAGCTGCCTCGCCCGGGCAGCGTCACGAGTCGATACTGACGGTGCTAACATCTCTAACATCGACACAGTGCGACTGTCAACGTGCACTCGATGCTCATTTGGAATTAGCGAGTCCCAAACTGTATGGATATGTCGGAGGTAAGACTTCAATTCCTGAATTTTCAGTCAGCAAGAGCAATGATTTCAGAATCAGACTTGTACTTTTGTGCATTTCAATGCATGGAATCGATGTAAGGTTCCCAGCCGGATAGGCGTCCATAGACCAGCATAATCGATCAGTGCATCAAATGCCAGTGAAAGCTTTTGGTTTGAAAGAAGTTGAGCAAGGTCTTTCCGCTTCGTCGCAGTCAAGCGAGCCCACCACTTCTTTTCATTTTCTGTGTCGTGAACTCGAGCATAGCGTCTTATGTTGCGAAAAATGATGCCATCTGTATATTGTTGCTCATGATTGTAAGACTCGTAGAGATGTGTTTCCAATGTGCGTTCAAAAGCTATGCCATCAGTGCAATGTCCGGAATATGCTACTTTCCTCGATATCACTTACTTGCATCTTCGTAAAGGTTTACGATCCACCACTTGTCGTTATTGTCCAGAAACGCTTCTGCTGCCCGGATTCTTTGCAGGCCATTTAGACATTGTATCGAGGTATTAAGGTCGAGCTTAATCGGTGTTTGAACACAATCATCTACCGTACTACAGCTTTCCTTAAAAGCCTCTAGAGTTATACCTTTTCTAAACAAAGCAGTATCAAAGCATTCTCTACTAATTAATGCATCAACAAAATTCTCGGGGTCGAGACGACGACATCCCTCGAACTCAAAGACTTTTAACAGGCGATTTTGTGCTTTTTTCGACTCTTCACGATGCTCGTTTCTCAAGGCGACACCAAATTGGAGTCGCCGAAGGTCTATTTGGGCCCTCCCTAGAAACGACTTGGCTTTCTTTGCGCTAAGGGAGTTTTCTGGGAGTGACATAATGGAATGTAGATAGAACAGCTATCTCTGCTGAATGTGAGGTGGCTGCGGGGTTGCAGTATTGCTTCAATCCCATCTTCTGCACTGCCCTAATCGGGGCGGCAAAATCCCGTTTTTGGATTTTCGGAAACTGAGAAGTTCGTCTACATACATTAGATAGACGAAAAAACTATAATTCTTATTCAAAAAAACAGAAACGAAATCGGCATCCTTGAGATGTTCAGAACATTATTTAGCGAAGCATGATCACTAACAATAACAATCACACGAGAAGCAAAATGCCACCGCAGCCTTGGATCAGTGCCTTGTACTCACACAAGAGTATATCTCTTTCGACCCACCGCTCTTGCTTCGAAGATAGAAAAGAGATTGAGACAAGGCCCTCAATTATCTCTTTCGTCGGTGATCGAACAAAGTCTAGATATCTAGCAAATCTTTTGGGCTACACAAAGCCCTTCGAGCGACATGGCCAAATACGTCTACAATCCCGACCCGGATGTAATGGTATTTCGACCATATATCTCGATTCTGAGATCTCTCTTAAAACGAGCGAGGCCTTAAACAATACCCAAAAGTTCCCAAGGCGCACTTCTATTGACTGGTTTTGCCCAAATACTATGTCTGCAACAGATTTTTCAGATCAAGTAATGTCGCATCTTCTCACACCAATATCAAGCATTATATGCTATTTCGCTGCAGACTACGGCGGGCTTAAAGGGATCGCCTCTGCGTTAGCGCGGCAGGCCATGTTACCACTGTCTCACAATCTACCCACTCCGGTACTTCCCCACATTCTGGTAGTCACTTCGACAAGCTCCAAGCTCTACGATACTTTTGGTGTACAAGAAGAGCTTAGGATGCTTATTATCAAAGAAATAAGAAGTCGCGTAACTGATCTGACCACGTATACTGCAATTCAAATGATAGATCAAAAATTTGGCAGAATCAGCCTTTTGGGATTGCAAAAGAGGCACACGCAGCACAAAAGATGCGAACAGCTACAAGAGCACTTAAATATGATTGCACAAGAAGTGTACTGGATTCGGCGGAGGAAGGGGTATCTCTTTCAATTAAAGCATATCGAAGCTTTTTCTACCCGTATAATAGAGAACTTTTGCCGAACCAAGTCATATTTCAACTTCTTACGCGAGTCGCGGTCGCCTTGTTTTGATGATAAGGAACTAAGTTCGCACTTTAAAGAAGCAATCATGCTGATGCCGAGTACGGAATACCTATGGCCTGTTTTGTGCCCGCTATTAGCTTCGGCAATGTTTCTCTCAAGCTACCCACCTGGCTCTCATAGTATATTTTCCGCAACTTATATTTATTTAATCCCCTACTTACGTTTGTTAGATTTTCAACCCGCAGCGCTCTTCCAAGAGTTCTATGCCGAACCTTGTAAACAGGCAATATCGAGCTACACTCAGGATCCAGAGATACAAACGAAATTCCTCTCCTTGATCCGAGAGAAGTTGGAAGATCACTTCCGCCGCCTCGAATTCGAGCCCAAAGTAGAAAGTGCGCGGGCTCAGCACTCGCATTGTGTTAAGCTACTTTGGCCTCATTTAGCAAGCATTAAGAGTTTCCGCTTGTGCCTTTGCTGCCTAATGTTTGCACCCGAGAAGGTATTTGCTTGCGGTCATGCAATATGCAACGTTTGCGTGCGACGTTTCGGGCAACCTTCCAACAGCGAAAGGCATAGCTACGAAATAGAGCAATGTGTTCTCTGTGGATTTTTCCAACCTCCTGATCAAAGAAATTTTACCCTAATCCCACCAACTGCTGGGATACGCATTCTGTGTGTAGATGGTGGCGGTGTACGTGGTGTCATACCTTTGATGTTTCTCAAACATTTGGAAAGCCAGATAAAACATCTTGGAGGCCCCATACACGATCTGTTCGATTATGTTTGTGGCACATCTGCCGGTGAGTACATTGTACCGATATTTTGCTAGGCTAAACATGAGATAGGAGGTCTGATTGCCATTGGCATCTTTCTTATGCATTGGGACCCATCAACATGTCTGGATCGCTTTGAAGAGCTTTCCAAGGCAACGTTCAAGGGAAAAGACCATTCTCTCTCAATATCACAAAAACTGCAACGCGTCTTCCGGGCATGGATTCAAGACCATCGTTATAACCTCTCTCCGATTGAGCGTGCATTCAATCCATACTCATTGGCAAAGATGTTCAATCCACTTCGGAACGACACTAAAGTAGCAGTAACGGCAACAAGTGTCCGGGAAAATGTGCCGTGTGTTATCGCCAATTACAATGGAGGAACCAGATCGGATGATAGTAGTAAGCTCAAATCAGGATATTTAATCTCACCCGACCGATTTTAACTGATAATAGACTATTCACATATCCGTGCAGCGAATTGCCATCATGATATGACTATCAGCGATGCGTAAGACTTTAGTAATTGCTTTGAAACAATGATCTGCGCTAATGATTCTTAGAGCGGCCTGTACCTCAGCGGCACCTTTCTTTTTCAAGTCGAAAGATGTGGATCATCTGGATACTTTCCAGGACGGAGGCCTTCAGCATAATAATCCGGCTCTCCTCGCAAGTTGGGAATGTGCCGTCCTTTGGCCTGATAAGTGCCAGATGTTTGATACGGATAAAAGCCATCTTGATCACCTAATATCACTTGGTACCGGTACATCGTCCACTGAGAAGCACCAAGTGGGTCCACATTCTCCTAAAAGAGATCGCTTTATGCGAAGGTTGCTCGGCAACTTTATGCGCCAAATGGATGGAGAAGAGCAATGGAAGACATTTGTTCGCTGCGTTTCATCCGAGATACGCCCCCGTTGCCATCGTTTAAACTTGTCGTTTCCGGGAACGGAGCCAGCCCTTGACGACATCGCTGTCATTCAGGATCTGAAACAAGAAGTGTCAAAGCTGGTGGAGATTAACCCTCATATTGGTAAAATTAACGATACCATGATCGCTTCGGTCTTTTACTTTGAAGTTGATAGTTTGACTCCGCTTGAAGGAGGCTCTTACCAATGCTGCGGCACGATATTCTGTCGGCTAACATTGGACTCCTTGGCACGTCGAAATCTATACAAAACGCTGCTTGAGAGTTATTCCTTTTTCATCATTGGAGGTCAAAGTTTTCCTTGTGCCCAATCAGTGCCGCGAGGGGCTCCTATATATCGAAAATCAGCAAGTCTTATAGTTAAAAGCTTGGAAGACAAACTTTCTATAGCGATCACGGGCATAACGAGCGAACCAACAATGGTCAGCGGTATGCCTACCCGCTTAAGCTCAATGATCAAGGCACAAGGGCTCTATGTTCCTTTTGGATGTATTGACAATCGGAATGTTTGTAAAGAGGTTCCTTCTTTACCCCTCAAGCGCAAAGTAGATGACATCTAGAAAAATATGGAAGAATGATACTACGAAATTGAGCTAGTTATAGAAATTTTAGTCGACTTCGAGCAGAAAACAATAGAATCAAAGATTCAATTACACGCAAGGGAGCGGAGTAACGTGTATAGAGTGGGAGTTTTCGATGTCTAGTACTGTTACGCTTAATGTAGTTAACGTCCATCCCTGTGGGTCGAACATCCCTCCGCAACGAACCACCAACACTGCCCAAGCACCTTACACCCAAGCCGCAGAGGCTCTTAGACATAAATACACATTTATATGCTTACTAGATCTACCTCTATCTATCGCAAGCCTCAAATAGTAAAATTACAGCGATCTAAGGGACATACGTGAGTCTTTCGTGTTGAGCGTGGGAAGGTGCGACACCAAAACACCCCTGTCCTACCTCTTACAGAAGCTCTACTTGCCTGTTCGGAGATTGTATATAACTTAGAGTAATCTAAAAAATCTTTAGCCACACTATAAAGATATGCAGCCTCTGTTCAGATGCGCTCCGAGTTTTTCCGGCTCGGTGTGCCAGTCCTTCGCATTAGCGAAAGGATTTAAAACGCTAGCACAGCTGGATTGCGAACGCTTAGCGGCCTACGATGTACACCTGCGCTATGCCAAAAGGGTTGAAGCTGTGGCGCAGAGTTCTAGAAGCTTCCATCGGGTGCTGCGTGTTGCCGGCTATTCTTAGAAGCAGACTGGTGTTGGATTCGGTTGGCTTCGCGCTCGAGGTATCCCTCAGTCACCACAACCACGAACATGGATCCAGCCAGCCAGGCGCTCGCGCAACGTCTGCCTGATGGTGTGCGTGATACATTTGCTACTCGATCAGAGCACGGCGATGTCCCTATCTCAACTCTGATCCACCGTAGGCTTGGACGACGCTCACGAGCAGAGCAGGCTCAGAGTCAGCAGTACTTAACTCGAGAGGAGGAGAAGGCGCTTGTAAAGTTCCTGCTACTGATGTCTAGTCTCGGACAACCTGTGCGCGTTAAGTATCTTCGCTCGCTAGCGTTTAGCATAGCCCGCTAGCGGTCCACGAAGAGCGAGTCGATTAAGCGTCTAGGGAAGAACTGGCCACGAGCGTTCGAGAAGCGTCACCCTGAACTCTAGGCGAGAAGGGTCAGATCGATAGACTGGAAGCGCCACGGAAGCAACATATATGAGAAGATAGTAGAGTGGTTCGATGTGATTGGCCAGGTACTACAGGATCCATGCGTACTGCCAGAAAACGTGTATAATATGGACGAAACTGGAGTCATGCTAAGCATGCTTGGCTCCGCAAAAGTCCTAGTCGGCAAGGACGATCGGCAAGGTAGTAGGGGTGCGGGTGTCAAGCGCACTATGGTAACTGTTATTGAGTGCATCAGTGCTGACGGAAGGGCCCTCCTGCCACTCATTATATGGCCAGCATCGACCCATCGCAGCAAGTGGACCACCCACAGCACCCCTGGATGGCACTATGCGCACTCAGAGAATGGGTACAACGACTCTAAGATTAGCTTAGAGTGGCTCAAGCGCGTGTTTGACCCCCAGACACGTGAGGGAGCAGGTGGAAACCCACGAGTGCTAATCTGTGATGGCTTTGGGACTCATGAAACGCTCGAAATCCTAGAGTTCTGCTTTACTAACAACATTATCTTGTGTCGTCTGCCTTCTCACACCTCTCACAAGCTGCAGCCATGCGATGTCGGCCCTTTTGCACCTTTGAAGAGCGCGTATCGTGAACAAGTCGAGCGACTCAACCAAGGAGGCGTAGATATTGTTGGCAAAGAGCATTTTACTTATCTCTATAGCCCTGCAAGAGATCGCGCACTAACTAAAAGGAACATTAGAGCTGGGTGGTCTGCAACTGGCCTGTTCCCTTTCAACCCGGAACGAGTGCTCAGAGATGTCCCTAAACCTCCAGCGGAAGTAAGCAACATATTAAATCCAGGAACCGAGACTGCGAGTGCTGATATGTTGGACGATATGCCCCGTACGCCTACCACGCCAGTAACACCAGTGACGACAGAAGCGCTTACGTCGCTGCATGATCTAATTACAAAGGACACACACATGCTTGAAAAGACGAGCAAAGACCGTCTACAGAGACGCATACAGAAACTGGCAAGCGCGGCTAAGGTATCCTTCGCTGAGCAGGCCCTCCTCAAAGATCGTAATCATTTCCTCCTTCAGATTAATCGAGAAGCCAAAACCCGCCGGTCGACAAAGTCGGTAGTTCTAGGCAAGGCTAAGGTGATGAGTTTCGAAGATCTTGAGGAGGCTAGGGCAAAGCGTGCTGCAATGGAGCAAGCTTTAGCAGGCAAGCCGAAGCGCGGGCGTAAGCGCAAGAGCGACGCGCTAGAAGGATCAACGGTCCTGCGGTCGCCAAAGCCCACAGTAGCGCAGCGGATCGATGCGCCTGAGCTAACGCATGCGCCGGTATCTGAATGGAGAGCGCCTGTAGCTAGGATGTACTAGACCACTTTCTCTAGCTCTGTATGAAGTATTTCGCGGCCTTGCGCAGGCTGGATAGAAAGGGTATTTTAAGTCAAATTTGAACCTAGATGATGTTCACAAATGTTGTATCTGCGTGACTGCTCTCTCATTTGGGGCCTCATGTCCTCGGCAGCTTTCGATGCAGACGCGCTTCAGCCTTGCGAGCAATGCACAGCGCATGCATGGCACGCCTTGCATACCCCACCTGGGGCTTCACGAAGGCTTCACCACAAAGTCAACAACACAGCGAGAGCCGGCAGCCTCAGCTCGCGACATCTTGACGCATCACGGGATCCTGTTGGTACCTTAGCTGGTGCACCTGCTCGTCCTTCTCTCTGTATGCTGACCGTCCATCGGTATCTAGTAGGAAAGCAGCTAACAAGCAACAAGCGCCCGCGCGACTAGGCTACCAAGTTCAACCTTTCGAATCTCGTTCTCGTCGCACATACCTACGATACACCCACACGAACCTATGCGGCTCTTACAGTACAGCGAAAGCGCAGAGCTCAGCATCCACAGCTTCGACGATGGCGACATACCCCCTTACGCGATACTCTCACACACCTGGGGCGCAGATGGCGACGAGGTAACCTTTGCAGACCTCCAGACAGGCGGCGGCAAGACAAAGCCGGGCTATA